CCTGAGTGAAGTGACACCAGGGAAGACCAGAGTCCAACAGCTGCAGCATCACTGGCCCCAAAGCAGGCTAACCAAACAGACCTAGTGCAGGCATGGGAGCCCCTGAGGGACCTCATGAGTGAGGCAGGGACAATGCTCACCTGATCTCCTGCCGTTCCTTCATCCACTCCAGCAATACTTGCTTTGACTCTGCATCCTGATACATCTGCAAAGGCAGCAGCAGAAAGCAGCATGTACATCAATCCTGCAGGCTGCACCTCACCTCCCCCCAGCTTCCACTGTAACTCACAAACCCAAAGTGCACTGCACCAGGAGCAGGATGAGATATTTTTGACCACACAGCAAGATGGTACATCCCCTCCTTCCCATGCTAAGCCCAAAATGCACTCAGGAGGCAGCACACTACCTGTCCTGCTCAGCCAGGGGCTGTTTACCTGCATTCTCTCCAGCAGCCCTGTCAGAGCCTGCTGCCAGGTCAGGGAGTGCATGTACTGCTCGGTGTTTATGATCCGGATCTCCGTCTCCAGTTCAGGAACGATGGCTCCAGTCCTCCAGCCATGACGCAGCATGAGGTCCTGGAGGTCAGGGTGAAAAAAACAACCAAGAATTCAACATAAAGACTGAAAGCCAAACACAACCCTGGTTCCTAGAAGAGTGGTCTGTTCCCAGTTTGGATTCTCAGGGGACAGCCATCCATGGCCTGTGCCAGTAACAACCACCTCCTGGCCACCAGGATCAGCTGTGTGAAGCACTTAGAAATGTGGGATCACAGTGCTCTCAAATTTAAGGAGCTGCAGATGTTCTTCACTCACAGAAAGCATTTCAGGAGCCCTTTCTCCAGTGCCTGCTTGTGAGGAAGCTTGTGTGTCCCAACAGCCTGCAGAGCACTCAGCACAACAAAGTGCAGACCTGAACCCTCAGGACAGGCCTTGCCTTGTCTCCAACCCAGCTGCAACCACAGCAGCCACACAGGCTTGTTCCCACCTCAGTGGAGACATTTCACTCACCGCAAGGTCACTGTACAGATGGTCACCAAAGTAGAGCACTTTGGACCCACGCCAGCCCGTCAGCCTCAGGAAATCAAAGAGGTTACCCTGAAAGTGACAGGAGCACAGAGAGATGTGTCACAGGCCACCTTGACACACGCAGGTGTGAGCACTCTCATGAGATGTTAACCTGCTCACTCCCCCACCACCTGCACCCAGAGGTTTCTGTCCTTCCCCACCTCACTTCACTTTCTTCTCATGTGACAACACCCCTGTACATCCCTCAGCTTTTCTCAGGCTGCAGAAAAAGGCAAAAGCTCTTTAAAACACTTTCTGCAAACAGGCAATTCAGGGGAAGTTCTGTGCTCTAGGGCACAGTCAAGAGGACTACATGGACTAAAAAGGCAACAAAAGGAGGCAGTTTAGAGGCCAAAAGACACCTAAATTAGAAAAGCCTGAGGATGGACAGAAAGAACCCTACACGTGTTATGTGTTTAGAAGCTGTAGGGCTCAGGTGATAATGATTTCACCTTACAGGGTGCACCAGAGCCGAGCACCATCATGCAAGGCTTTTGGAGTCAGGAGCATTTGAGGCTGTTCTCACATCACTGACCACCATCTCAAACCCAAAGATTAGCAACACCCACGTTTTGTTTAACAAGCCAAAGAGCCAGGCAGCTTGCACAGATCACAGCTAAGGAAAACAAACCAAACCCCAAAACATCAGCTAAAGCACAGCACAGAGAAGCTTTCAAGCCTTTCCAAACATCCATCCACACACAGAGGACACTTCAGGGACTACACTTCCATCTCTACATGAGTTTTCTACATGAGTCACAATGGAAACAAAACCCACCAGGAAAGGAAAAGGCCACATCAACACCAGCAGACAACTGTGCCAGCCCAAGCAGACAGTGCAAACCTAGGAACCGCTCGGCAGCGATCCATCCGGCCAGGCTCCAATGCCAGGAGAGAGTCAGCACTGCTTCCCACCAGCACCAGAAACCCCCAGACACAAGCCAACCCCCACAACAACTGGCAGCCCAGCACTTGGCCACTGGCAACATGCTGTATGCACAGCTAAGGGTGCTCAGATCAGGGTGCTGGGCCTCCTGTTGCCGCAGCATCACTGGAGCCAAGCAGACTTCCCTTAACAGCACAGAAACACAGGACTGGGCAGACCTCTGCATTTCCTGGACATGGCATTGCTGCTGCTTGCATGGGAGCTGCTCAGGAAGACACTGGGAGAGCAGGGAAATGGATCACAGCCATTTTTTATTGCACTTTTTATGTGCTCCGGGTCACCTCAAACAGCAGTGAATCTGACAGCCAGGAAACTTGTGCTTGGAGCTCCGCCGAGCCACAGACCTGTTAGGTGACCTCCAGGTCCTGTCCTACTCCCCTCCTGGGATCTCAGGCCAGGGGAGGGATAGCAGTACATACCTGCCACACACAGAAAACACCACACCTATCAGAATGGAAGGACTAGAGGGCATCACTTGAACTTCCCAGTCCCCAAGGCAAAACACCAATGCCTGAGGTGCCATCCATGGGATACCCACAGCAAACTGCCACACAGCTGTGCTTCAGGGGACAGGAACAGCTCAGAGGCCTCTGGCAACAACCAGCACAGCAAGGTCCACGGCCACGAACACTTGCCAGAAAGAAGCATATTGTAGCACTCCAAAAAACCAAAAGTGTTTGGGACAGGGTGGGCTACACACACTGCCACATCCCAAGAACCACAGGTAGGCAACAACTTTGATGCAGTCAGATGAACATCCTGACAGGGTGGGAGGCCAAAATCCTACCCATCCTTCTTTCCTCCTTCATCTTTTCCCTTCCTCATTGCACCGTTCACCTGGGTGAGCAACCTGTGGCCACAAGAGGTAGGTGATCAAGTGCAGGATTTAATTCAGCAATAAACTGCATGGATGAGCTACACCTTTTCTCCTGAGAGAGCTGCTAACCCACTGTGAATGAGCTCTACTTGCATGTTCCCAGCTTTGAGCTCCTGGCAGAGGACTGGATGCTAGCCCAGCACTTTGGCAGACCCACCACACAGCCAGAGGCTTTCCAACAGCACTACTCAAGGACATGACCCACTTTTCTACCACAGGTCAGGTCCCAGCTACTTAACTGCAATCCCACTGTTTCTTCCCGTGGGATTGGACAGCTCACATTACCAAGAACAGACCGTCCTAAAACCAGAGGCAACTTGTCTCAGGGGACAGGCCAGCTGCAAGGACAACCACAGGGCAGTAAGTTCACCGGAGTAGCATCTCATCCTCTGGACATCCTGGTCCTTTAGGAAGGGGACAGTTGGGAGCCAGGCTTTGTACCCTATGGGATGCTTTGTACCCTATTTGGTTACCCTTGTTTCTCTATTCCCTTCTGCATAAGTCTACCTTTTCCAACCTTATGGAGGACAATTTGTAGTGAGGTGCAGAAGACCTTGGCAAACACATCACACTTCAGAGACCTGTGTCTTCTTACCCTGAACTACCACACTCTTGGGAGCCCCTCCAGGACAAGAGTTTTCAGGACTAGGACATCAGAAGAGCCAAGGGAAAACTGCACTACTGGCCACGCTGGGCATTGTCAGACCAGAGCTTCCAGGGTGAAGGTTTCACTGTACACAGGGTCAGGAGACATTCACTGGCCCCTGCTACACATGCAGGAGATGTTTCCCTACCACCCCATCTCACACAAACAGGGCAGCAGCAGGGAAAACCCAGCCTGGCAGAGGTAATTCAGCACAGGTTCCCCTGGATAGAAAGGCAAGCATCCCACACCTCAAGTTACTGGGCCCTGCTCTGCCTTCTCCCCCTTGACCTTGTCCCTCCATGCCCAATGCCAAGCCCATACTGAAAGTACTCAGTATCCTACCAAACCATCAAGAGCTCATGGGGACTTTACCTCTTTGTAGATCTTTCCTTTCTCCAGCTGGTTTATTTTGTCCCACTGCAGTGAGCCTTTATCATCCAGTTTTCTAAAAGGTCTGGGAAAAAAAGGGGGAGATGTCAACTTCTTTTGATTTTTGGTGATTGTTACCCAGCAACCAGAATGTTTGAATCAGAAAACTTGTTTACCTATGTAACAACTCGGAATAAAAGCTCTGCATAAGCTCTAAGTGACCTTCTGGGCCTTCTGTACTATTTTCTCAGGGTGAGAAAAAGTGTGAGAGGGAAATGTCTTTTCAAAATGCTTCTCTTGACTGTAACCATTACACGCCAAAATCCCTAACAACTCTTCTTGCTTTTCACAGAGAGAGGAGAGGAAAACAATAGTAATAATGACTCTCTCTGAAATGCTAAGGCCAAGAAGGCTTTGCCATGAAACAGTTTGTGTCCTGTTCTAATCTGTCTGTGTCTCAACCCAACAGAGACCATGGAATGTCCTAATAGGATAAAGCAGTCTCCGTGCTGATCTCAGCTGCTGACCCAAGCTGGCTCCTGTTGTTCCTGAGGATTTGTCATTTAATTCCACGGCCCACTACATGAGTGGACCTTAGGCCCCAGGCAGCCATAGGCAGCCAAGAGAGAGAGAACATCATAGCTCTAGGCTGCATTTGTAAGGCACTTCACCTGCAGCCCATGAAGAAAACCTTTACCAAGTCAAGACAGCTTATAAAACCATTTAGTTGGGTTACTCCTGTTCATGCCAGTGGCCTGGGAAATGGGGAAGGGAAATACATACAGAGAAAAGAATAGATCAATCCCTCAAGGGCAATAATTCCTGGTCGGTCATAAGTTGAGGCACAAAGTGGACACAAGTTCCCAAAGCAAAGACCCCAAGGAGCAAAGTGAGGACAGCAGCCTATTGACTGACCACAAACCCCAGCTGCCACGTACAAAGGCTTCCAGAGCTGCCAATTACCAAACAGCAAGGATCCAGTAACTAAACAAAAACAAACCTTCAAAGAAACCAACCACACAGATACTTGCTGTGGGGAACAGGAAAAGGAAAAATTCTGTCACACTCTTGAGATCTAGAGCCAAGAAATTGCCAGTTCTCAGGCACACCATTCCACTCCACTCCTCTTTTCTTTCTAAAGATTTAAGTACAAACCTAAGTTAAATCCAGACCATGACAAAACTGATGAGGCTTAAACAGCCAATTTTAGAAACATACTTTCTACTTGGCACCACACATTCTATTCACTTATTCCCAGACTAGTCAATTTTCATCTTCCCAGAGAGTATCAGAGGACAAGGGAAGGCTGGATGCCTACTGGACCTAGATTATGCTTAGAAAACCCCTACTCTTCTGGAAGGTCAAAGGAGCTGTTGATTCCAGGGAGAGAGGCCCAGGTGCTCGTGCCCCCACACAGCAGTGCACACTGCCCCGGGCCACATACTTCCTCCGGTCGGTGAAGAAGTTGGGCTTGTCAGCTTGCACGATGACCATGTCGAATAGGTCCCGCCAGTTCTTGCCAACCATGTGTTTCATTCCTTTGTCCCTAAGGGCAGAGGAACAGAAAATGTGACAGATCCAGCACTCTGTTTCACCCAACACTGCATCTTTATAGCTGTCTGTTCTAAATTCACTCTCATTTCAGTAGCAAAGAAGAAAGCACAGAGATGCATGAGCCCCTAAGGCTGTCTCATTGCAGGGAGTATAGATGCTGTGCTTTGTTTTAAGCTGTTCCATCCTTTTTCCTGTACCAGGGAAGCCTGTGATGCAGCAAAAGCTGCTAGAGATAGTCCAGTGGCAGCTTTGGCCAGCCACAGCCTCGTATGTAGAGAGCTGTGGGGTGCAGCATTGCCACAAGCAGTTCCCAGAGAGCTCTCGTGACTATTTGCCACAAAACCCTCGAGCAAACGACGAACAGGTGCTCAGGGGACAGAATACCCTGCACGGCCCTTGCTGAGCTGTGGTGACCCATCAATTTGCCACAACAATACTCACACAAAGCTAAAGGGACTGTTTGTGATGAGGAACAATTTCTTCTTGTGGTTCACCAGCCGGTTTAGCACAGCATAGATTTCATCCCCATGCAGAATATACTGTTCTATATTGGAATGAAACAGACATCATTAATCAGAACATTCTGGCACAAGACATGACCACATTTCTATCAAACAAAACAAAACCTAGCCCCTATATCACTAGGTATGCAAAAGACCTGAGTTGGATACACCTCAGGTAGGCAGGGAGTGAACCATCAATGGTGACAAAATGGCCTTCCTCATCCCCATCAATCCCTTCTAAAGGGAAAGGCTGAAGAACCAAAAAGGCTACTGAAAGAATGCTGATACCAGACTGTCACGAGGGACAAGCACAGCCACTCCAGGCCATGTTGCTCCCAGGAGCTTCCTTTCTCCTGAATGACCAGAGAGCCTTCCCAGATGGTGCCTTTGCATGTTCCCACCATGCCAAGGACCAATGAGCTTCACTCACAAGCTGAAGGAAAAGAGAAACACAAGCAATGAGCTAGCCAATTCCTCCATTAAAATAGATCCTCCACTTTGCATGTTCCCACCATGCCAAGGACCATCATCCCTCACTCACAAGCTGAAGGAAAAGAGAAACACAAGCAATGAGCTAGCCAATTCCTCCATTAAAATAGATCCTCCACTTGTCCCTAAATGCCACTTGGTTCTGAATGCCCCTCTACCCTCAGCTGCCTTTAGTCATGGCACCATTGAGTATTTCATCAAGTTCTGTGTTCCCCTGACTCCTGTGACTGTGTGCAGAGCCTGCCTAGCCATCTTACCCAGAGCACCCACAGTACGAGACGCATCAAAGCAGATATGGAACCAGAGCTCTGTTTCACTCACCCAGATCTTTTTCAATCCATTTGTACATCACTCCTTTCACATGTACATCTCTGATTGCATCCTAAAGAAAAGGGCAGGGGAAAAAGTTTCAGTTTCACATAAGCATTCCTGTTTCCCAGCATGCAAACCTACTGCCAGCACTGAGGACCAACAGAGCAATGACACAATCTTCCTTGCTGAATGAGCAAAAGCTCCATCAATGCCCAGCAGCAGAGCTTGTACAGCAAGGTCACCAACATGCCAAAAGAAGACAGTGGATAGCTCAGCTGATGCAGTACAAGGGGGAAAGCCTCAAACTTATCTATGAAAGTGTAACTTCCTGCTCCTGGAAACCAGCACATGTTAACACACAGGTACTACAGCAATAAACTGTGCAACTCAAAAACCATTTACCATCCCAGACACCAACTGGCTTTTCTTCCTCCCTGTGCCTGTGGAAGACCTGCCAAATGTGACCGAAAGGAGGGAAGAGTGGCTGAGGTGAACAGCAACAGAGGTGAGCATCTGTGAGTCCAAAATGCTCCCCACAAGCCAAAGAGAGAATGCCACAGCTCCCACCCTCAGGAGGCCAGTGAACACAGGCAGAGCAGAAGTTTCCACTAGGAGGGTGGCACAAATCACAGCTGGGAGGGAGGCAAGTTAACAGATGTGGTCAAGGGCATCCAAATAGCCTCCATTTTCCAGGCTAGAGGCCAAGATGCAACACATTTTTTGACACACCCAACTGAGATTCTACCCAGCCTCCATCCAACAAGATATGCCAGACACAAAAACATTTCCAGATCAGCAACACAGTTTGCAGTGTTTGCACATACAAATTCTTGTTTTAACAGTACCATTTTCATCCCTGACAATTTACACAGGTACACAAATGTTGCCTTTCCCCAGGACCCTTAAATCCCTGTTACACTGTGTGCCCCTTTGGGAGCTGCCCTTTCAGACTGGATTCCCACACTCACCACCTACATTGCTACAGTGGCACTTGCTCATGCCACAGTCACCTGGTCTCATGGCTGTGCTGGTGAAACCTGCTCACCCCCCCAAAAATAATTTCCTTCAAAGCTGGGAGAACTTAGATGGGGGATGATGAAGGAAGAGGCATTACCATTTCAAAACAGTTTTAGGAGTCTCTTTCCACCACGTGGATTTGAATGGTAAAAAGGCAGAGGTCACACCTCACTGCCTTATAGGAAAGAAACTGAACAAAGAGCAAGATCTCTAACAAGAAAACAGCTCTAACAAGAAACAGCTTTCTCTTAACCAACACTGGCACTGAAAACAAGCAATGCTTTGGATTTGTGTCAAAACTACCTCTGTATTTTAGGAGTCTCTTTCCACCACGTGGATTTGAATGGTAAAAAGGCAGAGGTCACACCTCACTGCCTTATAGGAAAGAAACTGAACAAAGAGCAAGATCTCTAACAAGAAAACAGCTCTAACAAGAAACAGCTTTCTCTTAACCAACACTGGCACTGAAAACAAGCAATGCTTTGGATTTGTGTCAAAACTACCTCTGTAGAGCAGAAAGATCATGCTCTTTTCTTTCCCTAAGCCCCTGTGCTCAAAAAGCACAAAAGAAGAAAGAGAAAAGGAGAAAAAAAGGGAAAGTACTATAATGTTCCTGCAGGTAAAATCTTGGTAGCCTTGGAAAGTGTCAAACAGGGCTCAAAAACTCCTCCAAAGGGAAGCAGGGCAAACTATACATTTTTACTCTCAAACATGAAGTAACCAAACTGGTGTGACAGGACTGCTTGGATTACATGTCAGCTTCAGTCTTCACCACTACCTCAGGGTCTGCCCTTTTGACTCAGTGCAGTGTCTGCAGCACTCAACCTGCTCCCAAACATACACACTGCCACCAGCATTACCCCTGAGAGTTACAGAAGGGTGTCTTAACCCACCATGACCCTGTGCTGTACAAACAGCTATGCAAGTCCTCTGGGACACCTGTCTGCAGGCACAGAAGGATCTCTGTGCTCATGTTCACAAACCATTTCTTTGCACTTGCACTCAGGTACTGCAAAGGGATAAACTTTGCAAAAATGCTTGTTTATTTTCAGAGTACAGAAAAAAGCAAGAACTCTTCTGGTGAGAGCACAGGACAGTCCCTAACTTTACAGCATGGACTTCAGGCATTGGCACATATTTTTCTGTCATAGCTCTCTTCTCTGCCTACCTGTCACTCCTCAGGGATGAGCACAAAGCCAGGATTAGCACTCAGGAGTGTGAGGACTTGAGCACACCAATTGCCCTGTATCAAGTACGTATTAGTCTGTGGCAACCACCCTCCTGCTCTCTAGATTTCACTTAGGAACACATCCATTTTGACCTCAAAAGAAGGTTTGGAACACACTCTTCACAAAAGACTTCAGGAGTCACCTGTATCTCCTCTTTCCATTCTCCCCATGCCATGAGCAAAACCAACAACCAACACCCCAGAAACATTGTAAGGTCTCATGGTAAACAGGCTGGCATGCTCCTATCAGGCTCTAACAGAATTCAGAACACAAACTGTAACCTGTGGCTGCAGCACAGCTGACAGGTGCTGCACAAAAGGTGTCCTTATCACAAAAGGACATCCTTATCACAGACATGGAGCTCCACTTCCCTCACAGGGCTGAACAGCCAGTGCATGAGCCTAAGATTCCCTCAAGGTACAAATCAAAAACCCTTCTCCACAGAAAAAGGACTTGGAAGATGTGTTGTCTGTCAGCATAAGTCACACAGAGCAGCAATCTCAAGCACTTACATCTTGCCTACAGCATTAACTAAGTCAAACAGTCATACAGTGCTGATAATCCCACACAGTCCTTTCAACCCTCACTTAGCACCTTAGAGTAAATGCCAGGTGAAAGCTACAGTCACCCACTGGAAAATACCCCCAGAGGATCAGTACTCCACAGCTGCAAAGGGAAGAGGTGGATTCTCAGAGCAGGCAAGGGCAGGTGTTTCCCAACAATCACTGTATTAAGTAAACTGTTTTGTAAAAGGTCAGACCAAGCCTCTTTGAAAATTGAGGAAAACAAAGCTTAAAAGTCTGCAGAACCAGAAAACACAAGCTTTGTGACATGTTTCCAATGAAGCACCTTCAACCTAACCAGCCTAAGAACCCCAGAACAAGATAATGTACAGCAACACCAAACATGTTCTGAAAACAAGCTTTGAATATTCCCTGGAAACGCTTTGATCTAAAGGGGCAACAACAGTGCTGTCACATCAGGCTGCTCACCACTAGCCCCTTGGATTTGGGTGCTGCACAGCTCACCAGTGCTAACAAGCAAAGAGCTCACAACTCAGATGCACTATGAGCTCTGGGGCAGTTGACACTATACTTACAGAGATATCCTTGTAGAGATGCACCTGGTCAAACTCAATGCCATGGGTTATGAAGTAATCAATGACTGAAGAGAGCAGTGTCATTTCAGGAAGAGAAAAAATGTCCATAAACTGCTTAAGTGATGGACCCTGGAAAGCAGAAAAATGAGACACATTACACACAAAAAAAGAGCAAAGACAACAAACAGCCTGGAATATATTCCAGGCTAACAAAAAGTAAAACACTAATGTGGGAAGTCCCAGCCACTCAGCAAGCAGCCCTCTCTTCTCAACCAAAACACTAACCTGCTGCATTATCACTCGACAAGAGAGAGACCTTCTCCTCACAAAAATTAAAGGAACCCACCATCATTAACACCACAGGGTGAAGGTGGAGGAAGCAGAGGGTCAGTCCTAGACACTTTTATTTCAACCCCATGCCCTCTGCTTCCCACCTGGCCTCTTGGCATTAACACAGGTGCCAACAAACACCACTCTGCTACAGAAGTAGCCATGGCCCTTGCTGGGGATGCTCACCTAACCTGGGCTGTGACAGTGGACACAGGGCACCAAAACTGCCCAAACCACATTGCAGTGAGGTTTCACAGAGCAGTGCAAGAATCACTCCAACAAGCTCTGCCCTTGAGTCACTACAGAAAACCTATCGTGGGCACAAAGGGGAAGAAAAAAGAACTTCAGCCTATCCAGCAGTCAAGTGGAAATGGACAATTAAATCTTGACCAAGGAATAACTCCCCTTGCATTAGGTAAGGCTACAGCTCTCCCACACATTTGCTATTTTTATAGCCTATCAATCACAAAGTTATCAGTAGGCCAACAGCCAACTCTGGAGGCCTTTCAGTGAAATAAACCCTGCTTATTCTCTAGGTACCACCCGTGCAAAGGACTGCAGTGAGGCTCACTGGGAAGCTGCAGCTGGGATCATTTTTTTCATCTTCCACTGATAAAGTGCCAGATCAGTCAGATGGGCAGTTAATAAGGTCATGGATATGTGCACTGGGAAGTGCACAGACCTCTCCATGAACCTAGTCACCAGCAGTGCCCTGGCAATCCAGTCACATCATGCCTGTTCATATGAGTTTTGAGCAACCCCTGACTGACAGCAGGAAGCTCAACTCTCTAGGGTAATGCTGGTCCACATCAGAAGACATTTATTATAGCTGTATGAATGACAGACACAAAAGCAGCATCCAGAACACCACAGAAGGTACAGATGGTAGAAGGTGAGACATGTGCCTAATGACAAACATGTAGCCCTGTCACCCCAGGATGTAACAATAGAATATCTCCCATTGGTCTGGTCGGGTAAGGGTGGCATGAAACTAGCACTTTTTGCAGCACTATCTAAAGGCAATATTGGGACAACACAAATTGGAGTCAAGAAAGACCATGCAAAAAAGCCAAAGGAACAACAAACAGCATTTTGCCTGGAGGCTATTACCAAAAAATGCTGCAATCAAAACTGTGTTGGTGTGCTGAGGGTTAGACTGTTTCCACCCAGCATAGGACAACTTGACCTACAGCAGAAAAGAACACAAAAGGCCACATCCCACATATTGTGGTGCTGCTCTGGGATACTCACTGAATCCTTTCAACACACTTTTGTCCATTTTGACATCCAGTTGCTAAGGGAATATTTCTCCCGCTAGCAAACCCAAACTTTCCTGAAAACAGCTTCCACCTTTTTTCCTGTTTAAGGATTCTGAGAAAGAAGCAAAGAGGGACAAAGACAGGCAGTTCCTTGAGGGACAAAACCAGGTAGTTCCTACTGAAATAATTGGTATGAGATTTATCAGAGCACAGCAGAGCAATGACCTGTCCTACCTTTCAATATTTTAAGCATAGAGGAGACAGCTAAATGTTCAGTGTTAATTGCAAAGATTTACCTTACCAGTTCTGGTTTTGTTTTTGTGCTTTGTGTCATTTTCCTACAAGGGAAGTCCAGCATCCCCCTGTTCCCTTTAGTGGCCTTGACTTCCTTAGGCAGACAGAGTGACATGAGTCACAATGAAAATGGACCACAGCTTTAGAATACTACATGTGTTTTTTCCAGAACACCCACAAGTTCTCCACCTTCATTATAGGCCATCATGTGTTCTGCCAGTGAAAGCCATGCCAACTGCAGTGTCTAACCCTGGGCAAGGTCTGTGCCCACCTACTGCAGGTGTTGGGATGCCAATACCTGTCATATTCCTGCTAACAGAGGATCAAGAAAATCCTTAAGGGAGAGTATTCACACACTTCAGCTGTATCAGTCCCACTTGTCTTACACCTTGTTGCCAGGAATCAGTGACCTGATAGACCTTCTGTTACCCCTACAGCAACATCAGCATGGCAGACTAAGGAGGACAAGCTCAAAGTTCCCTGCTACAGTCTCACTCCACACCAGTTAAGCTGCGGCTGCTCACACCAGCAGTCATCTTACCCCAGATGCTTTCCCAGTAATGTGTTAGTGGCACAGGTTGAGCAGACATTGCTGGATGCAAATGTCATTAGCTGTAAATACTTTTGTTCTCTTTGGGATCCATCTATTAGTTTATGGAGTTCATTACATTGTTAGGAGATTCATCTCTTCACAATGAATAAGCCTCTATCCCTATTTCTGTGGCCAAAGGCTATACCAAACTTTCCAATACTAACTAGAGGAAAAAAGCAAGCACCTGGTACGTATAAAGCAGCACAGAAAGGCACCTTGGCATGAACAACTGGTCCTACAGAAGGTCACAACTTGAAGCAGATTTCGTTATTTAAAAAGAAAGGTGAAATCATCTCAAGTTTGGCAGGAGTGAGGAGAGTTGCACAGCAGGAAGCTAATCGAGTGCTGTTTACAGATAGATACCAATTTCTAAACAGAAACATCCTACTTCAAAGCTGGAAACATCACTGAGCTATAAACAGTACATACTTATGCAGAAAGCAACCACTTAGATTAATTGCTCCCAAGAGAGAGAGGAATCACAAGGTGGCCTTGCTGGAGACTTCACACAGCAGACTCACTGGGGTACTACCAGAGGAAACTGCCCTTCTCCTTCCAGCTTCCCCTAAGGCAACAGAACCAGCACAAAGGGCAAGAAACAAAGCAGTTCTGGGGGAAAGGGATGTGACCGGCCTCACTTGCCCACTGCACCACGCTAGACACTCGAAGAAGAAAAATCCTTCCTAATTTCCTCTAGTTCAGGCAACCAGAGGATTTCTACAGCTCCTAATGTCAGTACTTTACTACCCTCAACACCCATGGATGCCAACCCTATGAATAAATTTCCCCAGGAAAGTCTGGAGGGGTGTGGCGGGGGATCCCTTCCATGAAGGAAAAAAACTCTACCCAGAACCAAAAAGAGAAAGGCTTTGCAAGCACCTGCTGCTACACACACAGTCCCCTTCCCGTACAGCTCACTGAAAACATCAGCACTGCAGGCTGCTCTGCTAGCTTGGGAGATAGATTTGGCCAAGAAACAAGATGGGAACATCTCCCTATCACTCTCCAGAGCTATTCAGCCCAAGGCCAATAGCCCTGGTGTTTAGGAATGCTTCGCAGATGCCTTTCACATGCTAAACTGCTAAATAACCTCTGGGGTATATTCCCACTGGAACAAAAACACACACTGCAGCTCACTGGGGACAGAGCCTTCCGAGGGAGGCTGGAGTCATTCACATGTGCATACACTTCACTCTGATGCTGATAAAAGAGCTGCTGCATCACACCAGGGCCTACGGTACCTTGCCATAGAAGTCACTCATCTGGTACAGGGGGATGTGCTGCGTACCGCCGTAGAGTTCGATTACCTCTTCATCAGGCACCGGTTTGAGCCCTCTAGACACAGAACAACACAAACAGTTTGTCAATAATCACCAGTCTGCACAGTGCTACAAACTGCAGAGAAAGAGAAGATGGAAAAAACAGGCTCTTTTCTAACAGGCACAAAAGAGATAGCCAGACAGCCTGACAGCTCTTAAGATTCATATAAATCTTTCCAGAGACATTCTTCAGATACCTTGTTTGCTCCTTCAAGTTCATTGAGGGGCTTTATCCACATTCCAAGAGAGTCCAGCCAGAGGCTTCCCTCTGTCTGCTGTCAATCTGCTGACAGGACTGCCCCACCAAATCGGCCCCACGGCCTGACTTTGGCAGCACCTGGTAACTAGTTGCTTCCACGGGTGTATCAGCACTAAATGCAAAGCTGCACGAAAAGAGCTTTCTGAAAATGGATTTCCTTCTTACTCAGTTTTCCTAAGCAAAACCAGTTCTTCATTAAGACCAATCAACAGAGATGGCTGTTTCTCCTCAAAACACTGAAGTCATAGGTATGGCTGAGCTGTGCAGTTCAGGAACATCAGGTTATCTGACTGCTGCAGGCTTTGCTTCTTGCAGACGTTTCCGTGGCTGTTTGCTCAAGCAGCCTGCAGCTTCCCCTTTCTCCTTCCCTGCTCAGTTATTGTACAGCCTCTGAGAAGTTAAGCGTTGCCTCTGTTGTGCTCAAAAGCAAAGGACAGTTTAGGAGAACACTTCAAGAAGGATAGTTACAAAAGGACACTAGGGAAAAAACCAGTTTAAATGTGTTTTCACTATAAATCTCTTTATGAAGCTGAAGTAAAATATGGGCCAATCCCCTTGTCCCTCTCACCCTCCCCAAGCTGGCACTCAAAGAAGCCAATTCTCTCCAATTATGAAACTCCCTTCTTAATATTCCTAGAGTGTTTACTGTAACTGAAGCTTAACAGTAAAAGGGCAGAGATCAAGAAAAAAAACTTACATTGGCTTCCATGCTCAGGAAATACAACAGGATTTACAGGAGCTTTGCTACTGATATGTATGAATTACTACTTCTTACACCCCAACCCCACTCTTTGGGGCAAGGTTTTCCCAGTCTTCAGTCTCACAACTCTTTGGAGAAAAGTTTGCTCTGCACTGTTTCATCCACTTATCCCAAAGCACAACCAGCTCTCCTTGAAGAACAGAAGGAAAAATAGGACAACCTAGGCCTTAAACTGAGTCCAGATTTTGATGCATTATTACTTTACTGGCATGTCTGCACTGCTTTAAGATTTAACTTGCACATGTAGACCACTCTCCTCTTGGCTTTGTGACAAGGCACAGCAGAGCACTGCTGGGATACACTCCTGCCTGGAGAAGACAGGCACTCTCCCAGTGGCATTGCTTGCTCACAGGCATAACCCAGCCATGCTGTAGCTGCAGCTCAGACACCACACAGTATACGTGACCAAATGTGTTACTATTACAGAAAGCTCCAGGTCTTCCCACCCACATGTGGCTTGAAATGCTTGAGGAAAAAATAACTCCCTGCAATGATATGGCAGGTAAGCATTTGAAGCAAGCACAAACAGGATGAGCCAGATGAGACTGTGCTCTGCTCAGAAAAAAAACCACCTCAACATATGCCATGAACACACACTCAGATGCAGTAATCCCCCTCTGCCTATGTGGGGCTTTAGAAGACAATTTTCAGATGTGACAGACCTGTATGCTGTCCCCAGCTGGACATAATGGAAAGCATCGATCTTCATCAGTAGACTCTGTGATAAGGGACAGAATTGGGTTGCTGTTAAAATTTACACTGAAACTTTCAGTTTAAAGTTGCACGCAAATGACGTTTAGAAAATAAAATTCAATATGAACATCCCACATCTATGTACTTTAGGCTGCACTTACTCACCAGCCACTTTCACACACACTTACTCATACTGTGAGTTTTTATTGGTCTCTCTGGCAAAAGAACCTTTCTATGAGCCAAAGTCTATTACACTCCAGTTTGTTTACAGGAATGTAGCTGAAAAACAGGAAGAATAATGTTTCTGTGCCTCGGGACAGTCTCTTCTTATCTCCTTCCAAAAGCTCACACATTCCCAAGGAGCTTTGTGTGCACAAGAAATCTGTTTCTCCTCACACTTATCTTAAGCAGAACTAAGTGGACAAGTTTTGGTTTAGAGCACAGCTGCACCCAGTCATTTTCTTCACACAAAAGCTCTTCCCTCACTTCTCCCCTTTCCCAACAGACGTTTAAGCAAAGATCTTCAGGAGCACACCAGGCTGGTAACATTGGAGCTTTCTTTGCCTTTTTGGTATCAGACTCCCCTATTCATGAGTCATCCCTTCTCCTCCATCCATCATTCTGTAGCTGTAATACAAGTCCTGTATTTGCCTCATATACAAGCCTCATATACAAGCCATGTATATGAGGCATGGAAAGCAGCCTCATACTAAACCCACATCACTACAACTTGCATAAGAACCCAGCATCAAAGTATTCGTGCTCTTCCCACCACAGTGCAAGGTATTTGGTTCCACAGAGCATTCACCACCTTTGGGCACCTTCTTTTATCAGAATACCAAATCAGTGCAGTTGTTATACCTTGGGCAGACCTCCCAGTAATTTGTGAGGAGTGCAGACAGATATGCTGGAAGTTTTACTTAGACAGGCACTACCCAGATTTTTGTGTGTTTTGCAAACTCTGATCCTGAGAAAAAGAGTTCCCACCTTCTCCCTCAAAAGGCACTTCGCTTGGCTAGGCCACTTCCCTGTGTTTCTCTGATATACCAGCCAGAGATTCAAACAGAGAAAGAACCTTCAGTTTCTCACAGATCTACTTCTTTGCAGTCAGAGGCATGAGCAGCCTGCTGCCATGCTGTCACTACAGTTAGGACAAAAACCACAGAAGAACTCTGTGTAGTTTTCCCCCCACGCACTCCAGCCTGCACTGCTGCTTCCCTGAATTTCCTCAAAGCTCAGTGCAAGAAAAAACTACTAGAGTGAATCAAGTTTCTCTGCTGTGCTCCCATTTGACTGCCTGGCTGCAGCAGCCAGCATAACTTCAGTGGGCATCAGGCTTTCAGGGAACCAGTCCAAAGTACTGAAAAGGGTTAAAGCTAATGCCTGCACTTTGCCTGCCTGTGCCCCCCAGAAGCATGCATCTCAAGTAGCTTGGAACTTATTCCAGGCAGTCCTATTATTCGGGGTGGGGGGTGGGGAAGGCTTCCGAAAGCATTCTCCTGACAAGTCATTTCTATTATTGGAGTAAGACATAAAGCCTCTGCTCCTGGCAAGTACTTGTAGATGCAGGATTGAGTTTTGTTGTTTAAATTTCCTGAAAGACAGAAATGATCACACAAACAAGCTCAGTTTTCTATTAATTAGCCTGTGGAATTAACTGACTTTTAAATTGGCAAGGCTGTTTACCAGAGGCCTTTGCTAGAATGTCCCATTCTGCTAGAGGCCAGGCAAGCACAAAAGACATCGTTCCCCTGGGAAGCACCCACGCAGTGAAAAGCACAGCCACATGGACTCAACGGGAGTTTGGTGCTAGATGTTATTGCAAGCAATGACACAAAGTACTTCCACTTAAAACATAACAATGGAAAACAAATCCCAGAACACTGAACTTTGTACACCTTACCTTTTGTACATCATAGTGAAGTCCACGTATGGCAAACCCTGGAATGTAGTCATACTTCCCAAGCCCTTCTGGATACTAGGAAGACAAACAGCAACATTGTCAGGGCATAGGTGCTGTGTTATCAACAAAACCATTTCACCTGTTGAGCTGGCTTAGTCCTGCTAGTTGTCTTATCCCAGGCATAAAATGACCAAGGAACTGGTGTGCTTTGTTTTGGCCCTTCAACAAAGTGGATCAAAGAGGAAAGACAAAGGATCAGGATTCCCACAACTAGTTTCATTCATGTAAGGGACACTAGTGAAAAAGTATCAGATTCACTCAGGCAGTGAGGACACTTCTAGTAAGCTCCACTCAATGCATGTATTTGGCACAGACTAGCACTGCAGAGCCTCTCTACACAGAAAGGCATGATGAGAAGGAAATGTACAGAGCAGTCACCTATTGCAATCAGGGTGTGTGTTATGGGACATGCTGTGCAGAGTCATCCCACCGACCTGCACATGTCAAATCCTGTACAGCTTCAGTGTTGGCCCATGGATCATGTTTATCCACTGTGTGTACCTCAAATCAGCAATTCTGTAGGCATCATTTCCAGAGTTTAGAAAAACTGACCAGATGTTTTCTAGACTAAGATTCCCATTCTACATTTATAAAACCTCAGGCCTGTTCAGCATGGTAAATTGTCTCAAAGAAAATTAATTCCATGTACAGAGAAAGTTTTCTGCAATCCAATATTGTGAAACATGAAATTTATCTCAATAAAAAGAACTAATTGACACCTGTGTACAATACATGCACAAGCATGTCTGGGGTGCTGCAAAGGCTTGTAAGCTTAAGTTGAGTGGAAATTCTTAGCACCTCGTTACCTTGAATTGTTCTATTAGGATGTCTCTGGCAGTGTTGAAAATCATGGAGTGTAGTAAATTAGAATACTGTGCTAAGGTGTAATCGTAGTCAAAGCCATATATCTCCACATCTCCCAGGCTGATCTCGTTGTTAGCGTAGATAGCAGCTGGGTTGAGGAGATTGCAGACTCCTGGTGGAAGGAGATCTAAGTGAAAGGAAAGGGGAGAGGTTAGAGAAACTGAGAATCAATGAAGTTTTGACTTTTTGTCCTGGACCAGACAGCAGCTGGAAATACCACGCAGCAGCAGCAAAGGAACACAGAGCTACTGTTGAAGGCTGCTGTTAACTCAGTCAAATAACCCTCCCTGTGAGAAAACACACTGTGAAACCTCTGGCTGCATCTGGCCATGATGCTTTCTATCCACTTGCACAGTAAGACTGACCTTTTGTGTCAGGAAGCTGCAAAACAATGCCCCTGGTCTCTGGCCCACATGAAGCAAAGCCCACCCGAGGTACTGCAGTGTCAAATTTCTGAGAGCAGCTGCAGTTTCAGCAGGCTCCAAGTGAAAGGTAGCTGTGATGGATCACCACAAAAACACACACCCCTCACTTAAACTTGAGCAAGCAAACAGGCTCACTCTCCTCTTTAGGAAATACAGATTACTCCACTTTAGAAATGCTGAGGTTTGGCCTTTGGCTTTTTTTGTTTCTCACAGGAGCAGCCAGACTTCACTGAGAAATCCTGCAGGTACTGTTAGGGCTTTTGTTATTAATGGGTAGGATAAAAAAAGGCTTCGTACAAACACCAACAACATGCGAAAAAAAGCTCACACTAAGCTATGCTCTTGGAGCAGGAAATGCTGATAGCAACAAGTTATCTGCTTTCCTCTGATAAACAGCTGTGGAAACAGCTCAGTCCCTGCATGTGGTTTGTCACTGCAAAACAGGGTTGCTGTTCAAGATGCTTGGGAATAACACTGTGCTCCCCAGACCACTGGGAAAATGGGGTTAAGTGACCAAGCAGCTGAACTCCCTGCATATCCCTTTCCAGAGCAAGCCCAGGGAGGAGAGCTTTAGCTTCACTGCAGCAGGAAAGGCAGGAACAGACTTCCCCCTCCATGAGAGCTGTCCAGTGCGAGAGGAGAGACAGCAGTAAAAATAGTTCCCTGCAGTAGGTTGCCTAGTCACAACGACACTGGGGGACAGAGAGGGGAAGGAGACATTTCCTCCCTCCTCAAAGATGAGTTATTTTCTCTTTGAATGAGAGAAAAAGTGCAGACATCTTCCAGATCCTACACAGCATCAGCGGATAGGATATTTTTTCCTTTCCTACCCTAACTTTTGGCTTTTAACAAGAAGCCCTGTGCTGGTTCTGTAGTGCTTCCTTGCTATAATAACAAGTTTCACCTGAATCTGGGACAAAAAAATGTGTTATTAGAAAGAGATACCAGCCACACTCAAACAAAGGCTTTGTCTGGAATTACAGCAGAATTTAGGTAAAAGTCCAAAGTACATTTGTGAGCACTAATTCAGAGAGGTAACCAAAGAAGCAGGATTCAAATATATCATAATATTTATATTTCAGGGAAAAACAAATGGGTATGTTACAAAGCATACCCATCCCTCTCTCCTAACCCACCTGGCCTTCAAATGCCATGCAGTAGCTCACCTGGAGAGGAATCACTAGAAAATGAAGCATATATTAAGGCAGGAGGACTGACTTCGTGGCTACACTTTGGGAACAAAACCTCTCTTTGAGTGGTTCTGCTGGTGGCAAAGCTCCTGGAAGAGGCTGAAGAGAGTGGATGCGACCCAAGCACTTTGCACTGGGATTTTAAAAGATGATAAATGTAAATAGGATTCAGATGATCACAACTTTCATCCTTTCAGCATAAATGCTCTTTGCACCATAAACAAACAGAGCTCCACTTCCTGTTTTCACCTCCAGATATCTTGTGGGAAGACCTTTTTCTAGGCATACACTGGGATTTGCAGGGTGTTATTTTTCTTCTTCATGAGAAAAATGATGACACAACCCTAATCCCACCTCAGGACAAATGTTCAGTGCTTTCCTCTTCTATTAAAGCACTTCTTTCTTTGTACAAACGTACCCACTTGCTGCTTTAGCTTCCCGACACAGAGGTCAAGCTCTCCCAACATTGCCCTTTTGCTAACAGATTCAGGGCAACACATTTTGATAGTGTGAGAGCAGCACAAAACACCACTGCCTGATCCCCATCTCTCACAAAAGACATGAGAACCATGCATGCCAGCCACAACTTCTGCAAAAATCCCATCAAGAAAAGCTAAGGGAGCTGCAGGATTTTCTAACGAGGGTAGTGTGAGCTTCACTTAGCAAGTCCTACCTGTGATCAGAAACATAAGCAGTTGCTGTGCCACAGCACCATTTATGCAATACATTTGGACCCAGTGGATGAAGTAATGCTCTGCCCTCACACCCCCAAACAGCAGAGTCTCTCTGCTGTTCCGTCATTCTGCCCCACTCAGACATTTTGTCACTCACTCACACAGCATGTTGTCACTTGCCTGGTCAGGCTGAAAAAGGATGCATACACTACCCAAATGCTCTATCACCATTGCCTCACACACAACATGCTCCCTACACACTTCCTGGAGTACCACATAACTCCTTGCTGTGCTTCCTATTACACATCATTGTCACCAAACCAACTGCAGCTTGCTCTTTCCACTCCATCATCCTACATCTGAAATGTACAGTAATTTCAAAGTCAGTGATCCCCAGGAAAGAAGGAAATGCTCCGAGTTTCAGTCTAGAGACTCACACTGCACATTTGGCTCAGTGTAAGTGCCCATTTGTAGCATCCTCCTCGGAAGATATGCAGGTGTCCAGCTCCTCTTTAAGCTCGTGCAGTCTCCATGCAGGACCATGCAAACTGCATGAGGAGGTACCACAGGCAAGAGAGGAGCTGGGAGCACAGGCAAAATCAGTTTCAACACAAGAGCTCAAACAAGCCTGGGGCTTACTAAGTCAGGTTCCACGAAGTTTGGCTTAACTGTGTATTTGGTTTGGGTTTGTTTTCTTGTGGTGGTTTGTTTGTTTGTTGTGGTTCTTTTAAAGATAACCACCCAGGTGGTTATCAATCCTGAGTGCTCAAACTTGGGGGCTGCTGCTCTGCTGACATTCCCCACGTAATCTGCCAGGGATCTTTGTCTCCGATTTCCTGGCAATTGTCAAATCAAAACAAACAGACACCCTCCAGAAGCTCATGAAGATGCCAATTTTCATGAATGATAGCTTTTACTTTTCTTCTGCCAAGACATCATAACAGATTGCTGGACAGATAGGATAAATTACAGCAAGAAGAAGAAACACAAAACAAAGCAAAATGAAAATCAGTTTTGGTTATTAAAAAAGAATAATAATCCCAACTACTCTTTCCATCTGAGTCCTAACTGGAAAAGGAAACAATATCACAGTTAGTCACTGTCTACTCAGCACCAGGGTCTGCACATCTGAGGGCAGTGGGGGGGGGGCACCAACCCCTGCAATGGATACAGCCCCTGGAATCTGCATAACTTGCACAATTGGATCCGGTTTGCAACTCTGATGGTTTTAAGGGAAGTGTCTGCACGCCCCTGGCACATGATGAAACTCAGCAACAGAGGCAAACCACAAGAAAGCACGTTTGATCTCGTGCATTTCTATACCTGGGTGTAAATGCAAGGTAAACACACAGCGTGTCCTTCATTCTAGCACTATAAGAACCTGAACAGCTGCTTCAGTCAGAGTATCTTCATGGGAGCATAAGTGCCTCTTCTCAGGCAATAACCCACATTGTTACAAAGCAATAACACTCGAGCCCCAACACGAGAGCAGAGATGGGAACAAAAGCAGGTAATTAACTGTGAGCAACGACTAGAGACACCATATGGCCCCTTCTGATGTGAAAAACGCTCTGGTCGGGAGGTGCCAGTGCATCCTGTGCTTATCCAAGCTCCCAGGGTACCCACGGCATCCTGCAGGAAATGCTCCTTTTCTTTCAGCCTCAGATCCAGCATGTTAGTGAAGAATAACACATAAAAAAGGCAACTCACACCCATCTCACACCCTTTGTACTCCCAGAGGTCCAACAGAGCAGACATCTGCACTAATTTCTTTGTAAGACAAGCAAGGAAAAGTAGGATACTGAAAGCAGATGGCCACCATCCTCCATGTTCTTCATGAATCAAAAAGTTTCCCTTGCTCACACTGACTTGCTTTCTAAAGACATATTGCCAGTCTTCCTCCCTTCCAAGTACCTCTTTATCCTTTTAAAGTGTTGCTTTGTGCCATTTCCTGCAAAGCACTCACTCCAACCAGCCAAAGTAGATACTTCTACCCACAGGGTAGGAAGAGGGAAATATTACTTAAAGAACACTAAATGGCAGAGGAACCACGTTAAAACAGTGCTGAAAATTACTTTGGAGCATAGGCTTGAATTTATGCCATTATGCCCAAATATTTTGGGATTTCTTGCCAATCCCAACATGAACTAAAAGCAATATTTAAAAAATACCATTTTATTCCAAAAATGGCATTTTTAAAATCTACAAAGACACTATACCAATGCTATAATAGCTCTCTACAAGAAGAAAAGGTTACTTTTAAGAAAGCAGCACTGGGACGTTAACATAACTGGTTGCACTTCCAGTTCTGGCTGCTGATTGCCTTTCCCAGGCCCAGCTCAATCTGTACATGCCACAACTCATGAAATGTGCACATTCCCTAAGCGATTTGGAGGGCACTTGTTATCATAGCACTGAACTCGTTCCCTGGTTTGGCAAAGAGTCAGGCCACACAGTGCTTTGGATGAGCCACACAAGCAGAATCAACACTGCCAACACCAACATCACCAAGGCAGTGCTCACACGGGGCTCCTCTCCCATTTCCAAATGCAGTGGCACATGTTGATGCCTGTGGTTCGCATTGATCAGACACAAAGGTATCTCTTGATCCACACAAACTACAAAGAGTGAGAACTTCCTCTGAGCTACACCCTCAGTGCTATTAATGTCTCACCAAGCTCTTGCTGTCTGCAAACCTGTCTCTCTTCTCAGCAGTTCTCACATTGAACCATGCTCAAACCTGCCATGCAGAAGCAAGTAGTTAGCAGCTCCTGTAAAGGTTCCTCAGGAAAGCTGATTTATTGTAGCCACGTTTATGGGATTGAAAGACCTAGGAGA